GAACATCTTGACATTTTTCACTTTTCTCCTTGAGATCAAATTTGTTGTCCTCCTGCCAGCCATGTCTTCAGTGCCTTTTCTCCAAATGTAGGTGAAGAGTTTCTCGTAGCAGAGGATAATGAAGAGGGCGGGGATCAAAAACAACAGCACTGGGAGGTGGACAATACTGGAGTCGATTCCTTGCCGAGAATCGGGTAGAAAAAAGTTGCAGTGGTGGTCGCTGTCAGAGTCGTAGAGAAAATAAGCTGGTGATGCAAACAGAGCACCACAGAGCCAAGAGGCCAGAATCATTTTCTTGGCTTTCTCCTTGGACATTTTGAAGTTCAGGGGACGGATGAGAGTGTAGCATCGAGCCACACCTATGGAGAAGAGCAGGTAGATCTGGACTGCTGGGGTGAGGTACTGTATGTACCTCACCAGCTTGCACATCCCGTTCCCCAGCATCCACCTGCCGTAGGTCAACTGGAGCAGCAGGAAGGGCGCACTCACAACACTGGTGAGCAGGTCTGCACAAGCCATGGAGACCACAAAATAGTTGGGGGATTGTGTCTTCCTGCTCCTGGGCATCACTAAGCAAAGGAGGGAGTTTCCCAAGATAGAAACCAGCCACAACACTCCCCAAACCATGCTGGCTGCTGCAATTTCCCCCGGCCTCAGTCCATAGTCTAAGAGAGTGTGGTTCCTGCTTGAGCCGGGTCTTGTGGGTGATGATTCTGTCATCTCATAGCCAGCAGGAGGGATGGAGGTTTCGAGGTTGCTCATGTTCTGCAGCAGGAGCAGTAAGGTAGGGAGAAGGAAAGGATTGCTGCTGTTATCCATGCTTTGGGCAAACTCGGCCATGTCTTTTGCTCAGGCTGCAGAAAGAGAGGAGAGGACACATTCTCTTGAACAGCTCTGTGTGAAAAGTCCACCTGAACCAATAAAAGATAACTCTCAGTAGCCTCCATACTCCCTAGAGTAGTAGATTTCAGAGAAAAGGGTCAGAAATACACAGTGACACTACCTGGCATAGCAAAAGGCATTAAGTTTTATGCAGGTTTTTAGGAATGCCCTGAGTATTTCAGACCAGCATTTCTGTTCTGAGAAAGGTGAATGTCCCTTTCACAGCTGGAGACCAAGGTGTCATTTCACCAGTGCTGGCGAGCTGCAAACAGAATGAGTGGAATATATCCCACTGATCCCAGAAATGAGCTGTACTTCACAGTGTCCATGGAATTGCCAAAAAAGCAGACCAAAAGGGTCCCTGCACCCTTGACTTGATCTACGTTGGTCAAGGAGACAGGCAAATGAGGTGTTTCTTTCCACCCAGAGGTGTAATGGGAAGTCACCTTTTCCACAATATCATCTTTATTGATAAGGGTACTAGCAGACAAACTATGCTCCCATCCGATCATTAGTAACATGGGTGTTAATATCCCTAATGTTCCCAAATCTGTTTGTTCCCGGCCATAATTTTGGAAGGGAGGCGAGGTCTGAATTGGAAGGCAAAGGAAAGAACATCCAAGCAGAAGGAAGGGTTGGCACCAAGCTGGGAGGTCACTCCTCACTGTGAATTCCCTGCAGCCCTTCCCCAGGGAGGAACTTTTCTTCAGGAGCTGGACATTGTGTACCTTAAAGAGTTCTGAACAGCAATGCTGTCCTCACAGGCACCTGCCTCATTAGGTACCTACCTTGCTAGGTCCCTGCCCCGTCAAGGGTGGCAATTCTCTCTGTGGCCCTTAGAAGGACATGGCATGACAACATACAACAACCTCCCTCCAAAACCTGCAGAAGACCTTTTGATCAACAGCAGTGTTTTGATTCACAGTGAATACTCTGAGAGGAAGTCAGTGTCCTCAGGCAGCTGAGATGGGAGGTTGGAGAAGGGACAGGGGACCCTTTTGAGTTTCAGCAGTGGAGCCTCTGCTTGTCTTGTCAGAACTGTAAATAGATGTGACTGCAACCAGCTGTTGGGGATCTCTGTGCTCTGGAGAAAAGCCAGGGGGAGGGGGAATGTCCTTACCTTGGTCAGGGACCGTCTGCCCAGGCAGCAGCAAGTCTGACCCTTCACAGGTCACCCTGTTGAGCAGAACCTGCCTTAAGGTTCTGCAGGTCTGGAGGTGAGCCAGAGGACAACTGAAGGACTGCCAGGAGCAGCTGACACCAACAGACAACATGGAACCCCTGCCCGCAGTTAAGTCACAAAGAGTTCTACACTCTCAGAATCCTTCTGACCCAAGCACAGGATCCGGCACTTGGCCTTGTTGAACCTCATCCCATTGGCCTTGGACCATCTAGGCAGCCTGTCCAGGTCCCTCTGCAGAGCCTTCCTACCCTCCAGCAGATCAACAGCGCCTCCACAAACTAGTGTCAACTCTGCAAATTGCCTGAGGAGGCACTCAGTGCCCTCAGCTGTGGTGGTTGATAAGGATATTGGACAGGACTGGCCTTGGCCAGCTCTGGGAAGGGACAATCACCTTTGGGGAGTCACCTTTTCCACAATAATAAAATCTTCATGGATAAGGATACTAGCAGCCAAACCCTGCTTCCATCCAATCCTAAGTAACATGGGTTTTATGAACTGGTTCACACTTGCAGAACTCCAGAATTTTAAAACTAATTGTCTTGCCCTCTACCCCACAAGCTCAGATCCTTTAGGAAATACAGTTTGTGGTTTGATTCCCCTTCCTCCCCCTGCTGATTTAGCCCAAGGCAAGAAGATGGCAAGTTCTTCTTTCAAAGCATTTCTAAAATCAAATGCAACAGAAGATTGGGGAAGGCCTGGTAGGAAAGATTAAAGAGGCTCTCTTAAAAAAATTCCTTTACAAATCAGCACTAACTTTTGCCGTAAAGGTGTCTTGAGAATTGATTCCTGAAATCACTGTTTTGTATTGAGTTGGGAGGCCTCCAGGCATCAGTGTGTACGCAATAGAAACAGCAGCCTTCTCAGCATAGAATCATGTCGTATTTGAGGTTGGAAGGGAGGTCAGGAGATTTCCAGCCTGTCCTGCTGCTTAAAGCAAGGAAGGTGTGAGACCAGATCAGGGTCTTGAAACCCTTCAGGGCTCAAGATATTTGAACAACCTGTTCAACAATCTTGCCTGTCCTCCTGTAGTTAAGCTAGGTTTGTGCTGTGGACTTTGAATATGCCTTTTGAGATGAGATTTGAGCCAATCTTCAGAGCAGCAGCAGCAGTGAGGTCAGTGATAGTTGTGTTCTTACTGTGTTAGTGCAGAAGTTAAAATACCACGACACCACATGCTCATAACATCTGTAGGACATCTAAACAAGGCAACTTTGAACATTTTATAAGGTGAGTTTATAAAAGCAGGGGGTGAGTGTATTTGAAATTCTTGCTCTCTAAACCATGTAGAATATTACTAGATATAAATGTCTCCTATGAACTGTGGCCATCAAGACAAGATGTTGGACTCTGAATTGGCTGTGGTGCAATGGAGAAGAAAATTCAATTAATAGTTTATCACTAAAAAGTCCAGTTCAAAAGCAGGAGGGAGAAACAAATGGAGCAGGAAGTCAATTTTCCAGTAAGGAAAAACATTCAGTCATTCAATTTTCCTTGCTCCAATTTCACATGATATCTGGCAGTGTTTTGATTTCCTAGATATAAACAAATCATTGTAGTCTTTTCTGCTTGCATGTTTTTCCTAGAATACTTTTCCCCCTCTTACCTTTCCTATCCTTCTGGAAGATATACTAGTTTATTTTACATTAAAAAAAAAAAACAAACCAAAACCAAAATGGATAAAATTGTGCATGTGTTTTTCGACTAGACTTGGAAATCTTTGTAGTTTACTGGGACCATTTGTGCTACCAACAGTTTTGTTTCCCTATCAAGATTTATTTTGTGGCTAAAACATTAGGATAGCTGAAAGCAGCTTTCCCTCTAGAGCATGTGTAAGTGGTCTCATGCTATGTTCCAGACAAACTCTTAACATGCCTGATGATATTTCACTTCATTTTTATTGAGTTCCAAAGAAAAGGCTCTGAGCAGTATCTATTTCTTTAATACAGGACTTTCCAGGCTGCTATTTAAATTATTTTTAATCGGAGGCTTTTTCAGTATGAAAGAAATATGAGTCAAAAACTTGAGTCCTTTTGCAGCTTATTTGCTGTACAGTCTATAGTTATTCAGATGAGGTTTTTAGCATGTTTCAGATGTAGTCCAGCATGATTCAATTTGCCCTGCAACAAAACAAAAAAGGGGAGGTGAAGGATCCTATGGGAAGAAGTGAATGTGAGAAAGACAGGAGGTTCTGGTTGAAGAGCAATGAGGGAGATTTTAATGTCATCAAACTCTCAGCAGGTGGTTTTGATTACTATTTTCAGAAATACACTTTTATTTGCAGGTCTGTGCCTTATCCCAACAAATTTCACCAGTGACGCTATTTTAATTTACAGCTACACTGACTTAAACTCTTCTTCTTAAGAAGTTGTCTAGATCTCCTGTTCCGAACTGTATTTCATGGCTGTTTTCACCAGTCCTCCTCCCTTCAGGTGTGCGTGGGGGGGGGGGGGGGGGAAGAAATCCCCCCCAAAAACTTGGAGACTGAGGGGAGCCCTCGCGGCCGCCTGCACCTTCCTCAGGAGGGACAGGCACTGACCTCTGCTCTCTGTGACAGGACCCGAGGGAACGGCTGGAGCTGTGACGGGGAGGTTTAAGTTACATATTAGCAAAAGGTTCTCCCCCCAGAGGATGGTTGGGCACCGAACAAGCTCCCCAAGGCAGCGGTCGCAGCATCCCGCCTGACAGAGCTCAAGGAGTGTTTGGACAACGCTCTCAGGCACATGGCAGGATTTCTGGGGTCTCCTGAGCAGGTGCAGGAGTGCCCCCGATCCATGGTATTCCACGTCCCCACGCAATGGCGGAGCACGAGGCTCCTCCCCGCGGGCACAGCGAGTCCCGCCGGGTCCCGTCTCGCCCCGCTCCGTGAGGGCGGAGCTTGCCCGGCCCCGGGCCCGCGCCGGCCGCCGTCGGGCTGGGCGGGGCTGCGGGGGCCGCGATGGCGGCGCGGGCCGGGCTGTGCTGCCGGGCCGGGCTGTGGTGCGGGGCCGGCGGGGGGCTCCCAGCCGCGCCTCGCTGGGGCCGCGCCGCTTATTCCTCGGCGCCCGCGGTGAGCGGCAAGGAAGGGCCGCAGCAGCGGGAAGGTGAGCGCGGGGGGCGCGGGGGCCGCGCTGCGCCTCCGCCGGCAGGGCGGGAGCGAGCGCTGAGTGACGGGGCTGCGGCGGAGCGGTGCCTGGTTTCGGTTATTCCCAGAGGGAATTTCATGGTTTGCCGAGGGCTGTGTGCTCCCGTGAGACCAGGCCTGGTCTCTGAAAGATCCTTTAAGTGTTAAAGGGGTCCTGGCCTGAAATTATGGATGTTTGTAACAGAAGCAGTGCGGTGCGAAGTGTGGCTGCATGTGAAAGCACCGCGAGGAAGGCAGGTCAGGCGATAAAGGAATGCTGTGTGTGAACTGTTGTAGAACCCCCTGGTGTATCTTTCAATTTAAATTTTTTATATAGCAAGAAGAGGATGAGCAGAATGGGGTACATAAAGTACTCGGGTAAGGAAAACGAAAGAACTGTAAAGTTTACCAGGTTTTGGGAGGTAGGGTTGTAAGACATTAATAAGGGGAAAACCCAAACGTCCACTCCTAAATCCCTTTTTTTTTTTTTTTTTTGCTAAATATATACAAAGAAATAAAACCTGAGAGCTCAAACCAGTCACTTGAAAGTAAATGGCATCGGCTTCACCTTCATTTGTCTGAGGCTACATTGTCCAGTGTCGTTTTTTGGAGAGCGGAGTTTGAAGTGTTTTAGAGTTTCAGGAGGGGGCAGAAATGGAGGGAAGCAAGATCTCTGTTTAGTTTGACAATCCAGTGGTATTTGGTATCTTCATGCATCCCTGAGAGTCCTTCACCACAGCTCCAAGTATTATCTGGCTATAAAGTAGAGTCAGAGGGTGGCTCAGGCCTGAAAGGAGTTAAACTCTTGCATGATTGCTCATTAAACTGGATTGACATGATCCCCATCCCCAGCTCAAGAAGAGAAACAATCCAATGTGCAAACTGTTCATACAGAGGTTAGTTGAGCAGCATAGTGGCACAGAAGAGGGTGTAAACTCAGAAGGAAGGGATGGAGCCATGTGATTCTCCTTTTGGAAATAGTAACTCTTAGGTTTATCCATCTTGTGCTGCTGTGGGAGGGTGATTTGTGACTGCACAGCCATGTGGGAAAGAGGGAGCACAGGGATGAAGGTGAAAGTTTACTCTCACTCATTTTCTTGAAGTTCTTTTTTATCTAATGTTTCAAAAAATAAATGAGCAATCTGCAGTCTGAGTACCTGATCTTCCCCTTCTTCCATGTAAAGACTGGGGAGTATTAATGAACATTGGTACAAAGACAAGTGCAAAAAAAAGTGTAGAAGACTATGTTGCATTGCCCCCTCAAAAAAAAAAAACAACTATATAAAAATTTGTATTTTAAATGGCTCTGTTTTTTTTTTCTTTCAGCTTCAATAAGGAGAAGAGGCAGGACACCACAGTTTGTAAGTAGTGAAATGATTTGCAGCTAACTCAGGTGTTTGAGACAGTTTTCTAAGCTGTGTGTCATAACAGGAACCCCTTCTGCAGTCAAACCCTGTGACTGTTCCAGGCCAGCACCTGCTTTCTGTAATGTCCCAGCTCTTTTCAGTATGTGCCTTCATAAAGCCAAAACATAACAGTAAGCTAATAGTTAACTTTTATTGACACCATGTACTGCAGGTCTGAAGAGTAACTTAAAGTTGCATTTTCAAAAAACCAGACATTTTATTGTTATTTTCAATCTGAGTTTACAGGATTTGTGGTGGTTTCTTTCTGGTGTAAATAAAAAGTGTGATCTTGTGCATCAGTGAAATTGTACGTGCACGGTGGATTTAAAACTGATATCTGGATATTTAATAACTAAAAATTTCCTGTTGTCATCCACATGTACATGTCAAAAGTTGTATAGTGCAGGTTATGATGTTTTAAAAGCAAATAGTGAAGTAGACCTGGGATACATTAAATTTTTGTGTAGCTTCTAAGAGTGGATTTTATGATACACCAAAACAGTAAGACCAGTTGACTGCATATATCCATTTTCTTTCTACCCCTCTAAATTAAAAATTAAAGTTTTGGGGGAAAAAAACAGTGACTTGTTTGTTTGTTAGGTTTTTTAGGAGCATTTGACTGAAACTCTGGTCAGTTATTGGAGGATATAAGCTATTTCTTCAATATACTAATACATTGTTCCTGTACTGGAATTTCTATAGCAAGAAGTGTCAATTATAATCTGTTTCTTTTATTATCAACTGGTTCACACTTTCAGAATTCCAGTATTTTAAAACTCATTGTCTTGCCCCCAACTACACGCTCAGGCCCTTTAGGAAACAGAGTTTGCAGTTCCATACTGATTTGATTCCCTTTCCTTCCCCTGGTGATTTATGTTTTGTGTGTTGACCCTGCTTTGTCTTACAAACAGTGTATCTCACGTCCAGCTTGTATCCTTTTGCACTGATTAGGCTGTACCTCCCAGAACAGAGAGGATGGCTGTGGATCAGGACTGGAGCAGTGTTTATCCAACAGCAGCTGCCTTTAAACCTGCCTCTGTGCCTCTCCCAATCCGAATGGGTTACCCAGTGAAGAGAGGAGTACCTCCCCCAAAAGAAGGCAACTTAGAACTTATTAAGGTAAGACACATCACATGGGTGGGTGGTTATTGTAATGTTAGTATTCACTAAGGCTGCACTGCTTTGATTGGGGTGTTGGTATTGGAGACTGTTTTCTCTTATTAAACAGGATGATCCTCTTCAGTTTCTAAATGAAATGGTAACAAAGTTAAGTAACAAATAAATGAAATCTGGAGACATTTTTAGGGTGATCATGCCTGTGATTTTTGTACTAGGGCTAACTGAAGTCTGTTCCTAAATCAGACTTGAGTACTTATCTGAATATCTTATTCAGCGTGTTGTATTACCATAACAAATGTGAGAAGTGTAATCGGATTTCAGTCATGTCCATTTACTTAGGAACAGACAAAAAGCCATTATTGTGGTAACTCTTAATGTGTCTGTTTCAGATTCCCAATTTTTTGCATCTTACTCCTCCTGCAATTAAGAAGCACTGTGCAGCTCTTAAAGGTGAGAATGTAAATGTGTGTGATCAAGTAGAAGGTGAGACATGGTACACTTGTGAACCTGGTTATTTGTCAGGCTTTGGCTAGTACTGTCTGCTTTATTGCTGCTGCCTGGAGTTACCTAGGTGGTTGGCAGATGTGTTTTAGGAGAGCACCCAAGAAAGACTGAAATTTTACTTTTCAATGAGGCCCTACTTGTACTGACAAGTTGATAGTTTAGTGCCTTGAGAAAGGTGAGTGATGAATGTGACAGAATTCTCAGAAGACTCTCTGTGATTGAACCAGGGTTCAGTCAGTAGCCATTCTGGATTGCATTTAATGACCAAAAAGCTATTAATACTAGAAACCCTCTGTGAGAACAAGGTCTGCTGGGAAGATACAGGATCTGCTGAAGACCAAGAGAATCTCTACCAGCCAGCAAGAGAACCTAATGAGGCAAAGGAAGCATTTTTTGTGATGAGGATGGTGAGACACTGAAAGGGCTTGCCCAGAGAAGCTGTGGATGCCCCATCCTTGAAGGTATTCAAGGTCAGGTTGGATGAGCTTTGAGCAGCCAAATCTAGTAAAAGATGTCCCTGCCCATGGCAGGGGTTTGGACTCTTTAATCTTTGAGGGTCAATTCCAACCCAAACCATTCTGTGATTGTTTGGCATCTGGAGTACTGTATCCTGGGTTTTGGAGGACCCAGTATACAAAAAGGATTAAACCCAGTGAAAAGATAGATTACAATAAATCTGGAAAAAAAATCCCCAAGCAACAACCAAATACACCAAACAGGTATTACTTGTAGTGTTTTCTCTTTATTATACAGATTTCTGCACTGAATGGCCAAGTGCTCTGGACAGTGATGAGAAATGTGAACAGCATTTTCCCATTGAAACCGAAACTGTAGATTATGTTTCTTCAGGGACGTCTATTCGCAATCCCAAAGCAAGAGTGGTGACTTTAAGAGTAAGTAGTAATTTTGATAAACTGCCTTTGTCTCAAAAGCCTAAATACTTGTTTTTCTTTTCCAAACGTGCAAGTATCTGCTATAAGGAAATGAGGGAAATGGTTTCCTCAAAGTCAGAATAAATAAAAAGCAGTGGATTTCCTGAAGTATTCTGCAGAATGTTAGAACTGAGGTCATCAGGTTATGGATGTGCATTTAAGTTGGCTGTGATGTAAGCAAAATAGTGTACCCTCTGAAGAATGTCCTTGTAGAAAAGGTTCTCCATGTCTTGCTTAGATCTTCTCATTGCTAATTTTTTGGCCCTGGAAGTGCACAGGTATTGAAAGGTGGGTCATATGAATGTGGCACTATTTATAAGTGTTGAGTTGGCAGGCCTCCAGGCATCAGTGTGTATGCAATAGGCACAGCAGCCTTGTCAGCATAGGATCATGACATATTTGAGGTTGGAAGGGAGCTCAGGAGATTTAGGCATTATGTGGGTGTTTATTATACATGTATATATAGTTTGAATATTCACATTATTCTTGCCTTGTGGTAAGACTTCTGATGTGATACGATCAGAAGAAATTCTGCAAATGCATCCTGAATAGCTGTCCTTCTAATTCTTAATAGGTGTACCATACTGTCTCAAGTATTTCCAAAGTGCAGAGATTGGATTTATCCAAGGAGTTAAAGTTGTTTTCTCTTGTACTTGAAGGTTAAACTTTCTAACCTGAATTTGGATGACCATGCAAAGAAGAAGCTTGTTAAACTTGTAGGAGAGCGGTACTGCCAGGAGACAGATGTGCTCACAATTGTCACAGACAGGTACAGTTACCAGAAGGAAACAAAAATGCTTGTACCAATGGTCACTGTATAGAAAGGGCTGGGTGTCTTCCAGTAATACCGGCTGTTCTCTTGGTGAATTATTATATTTTTAAGGCTAAAATAGGACTTAAACTTAACACTGCTCCTGTTATTAACTGTTAAAATCAGGTTTTAAAGGAGTTCAGACTTATGTGTGTTTGGTTCCAGTTTGGCACAGACGGCAAAAAAGTTTTTAATGTTTCCTGAAGATTTGTTAGTTCTTGGATTTTGTAGATTTTCCTACTGAGTTGCAGTTGCCCTTTCTCCCATGTTCTTAATACTCACACCGCCAAGGTGTTATTCTTGGTTGGGTGTAATTCAGAAATGCATGTGATTTAAACACACATTTCCCTAAGATTCCCTACATTGCAAATTAGAAAAATAGATGGTGATTTTTAACATCTTGTTCCAAAAAATGAGCTTTGTTCCTGAATTTTCAGGTGTCCCCTAAGAAGACAGAACTATGATTATGGCATGCACCTGCTCACGGTTCTGTACCATGAATCTTGGGTAAGCAGTTTTAAGTAGCTCGTGCTGTCTAATGTGCATGTGCTCTCTGTCATACCTTAAAGTAAATTATCTCAAGATTCTTTCCCTCTTCCACCTCACTTGTCTTCAAATTCAACCAAGATAAGTTGCCTATGTTTGATCTTAATTCCAGAGTCAACTTAAGAGTGCATTTCTCTTAACTTCACAAGTGCTATTTTGTTGTTTCTGAACAGTTTGTCTCTTTTAAGAAGTTCACTTGGTTTTGACCTCAATAAGAGATTCTTTCCCAATGCTTTGCTCCTCTCAACCAGGAGCCTAAAACTGACCCTGAGCCTACCAGAAAACACCTTAATTGTCAGGATTCCTAAACGTACCTCTAATGTGGCATCACGCTGGGCTGCCTGTGCACAATATTCAAATATGAATTTAGTGCACCCAGAGGAATGGTGTGCTCTGTGATTATCTCCCGTTACCTATGCACTTTTAACAGGGACTGTGTTTAAAGGCAAAACCAAGTCTGTTCCAAAAAAACAGAGGGGTGTGTTATCGCTTAAAAGCTGTGAAAACTGAGAACACAATATCTACATCTTGCCTGATTCCGGACTTGGACCTGTTGCTTAGAATATGTCTTTTCTTGGGCTCTTCCTGGGCTAAAGTAAACAATGGCTGTAATTTGGAAATGTTCTGTTTCTTAAATGCTCTCTCACTTTGCCTCAAGCTGACTGCTTTTCTGAGCTCCCTCCTGCTCAGGAAAGGGGCCTCCTCTGCACCTCCTGTTAGTTTTAGCATTTCATTGCATCGGTGTTAGTGTCCTGAAAAATATAAAAAAAAATTTATAACTCTTTAGGATAAAGCAAGTGTAATGTAAAGTTTTCCATAATCATTCATGATAAGGAGTATTTGGAATTTTTCCCTGTAGCTTGTTTTGTTAAGTGGTTTTACATATCAGATATCCAATCCAAATGTATGAAAGGTACTATTCCAATTTATTATTAATTTACTACAAATTTTAAGTAGGCCTCTAAGTATAATAAGATATCTTTAGACTACAGATCTTTCTTTCACAGTGAACTGTTCAGACCTGTCTCTTGTATTTTTGTGGTTAGTTGTGCAGGTTATAAATAGGCATTTCTTGCAGAAAACAAGTTAGTAGTCTGAAATAAAATTAAGGCTGAAAATCCATACTAATGTTTTGAATAACATAAAGTTGAGTGTACTGTTACTAGTCACATTGTTTGAGACAGACCCTATTTCCATAGATGTACTCTTTTATATAAGTTGTATTTTCCATATTCAACATTTTTATGAATTTAGGTGTTCTCGATTTCGATCACTGCAGTGGTGACGTTACAAACATACTTAGGAGGATGAGCTATATTTCCCTTTCAGTGAGAGCTGCCTTGAAGGATACATTTTGCAATTGTAGAGTACGTCAAATTAAATTAATTGTGAAGGGTAACATTTACTCTAGATTTCAAGAGTTTTGTACACATGGATGTTCCTCTCCCCAACAGCATTATATTGCATTACAAATCTGAAATTAATGACAGATCAGTATTGCAATGACAAGAGGGTTAGACACTGCTCACTTTATTAATTTCAGCACGAACAGCACGTCTGTGCTGTGCTCTGGCATTAATTAGTGATGGCAGACAGGGCTATATGATACTGCTACGTGAGTGTTCAGTGTATGTTGAATATGCACAAGTCTCCTGCCCTTTTATTACCTTCCAACCTCCATGTTAATGTTTGATGAGTTTGTCAATCAGTTGTAATTGTCTTTGATTTCCATGAAAAATTAATGGTTTCCCGAGACATGGTTTTTTATTTTGTGTGACATGTTTTGCTTTGTGGCGTGGTTTTTTCCCTCCATGATCAGTGGTAATGCCTTTTAGTGACTTGCTGAAAGGGAGTTTTGTAAACCATAAGCAAACAATGTGTGGTTTATTTTAATTTGTACCAACTTTATTGTGCAAGGGCAATGGATGGGGACTGGCCTGCCAGTTAGACAGTAACATCAGTCCTGTTTGCAGAACTAACTGTAAGATTTGATGACTTTCACAGCAGAGTAGTGTCACACTGTGTGTTAATGCATGGTTGTGATGTAATTGAATAAAAAGATGAGAGCAGTGAAGGAAAGCTGGATGCATGTAATTTTTACCCTCAGTCCTGAAAACTTTGCCTAATATCTCTCTCTAAATGTGACAGAATTTATGTTAATAACTATGTTTCTGTATTTTGTGAATTGGCAAGCGTGTATAAAAGGAAGCTCCTGGACAATATGATTTAGGGTCTTAGTGTGGGCCTTCAGTCACCTTAGGTTGAAAAGGCTTCCATCAGTACGATATCGAATGTAGATACCGTCCTGATCCTCGAGGTCTGCCGTGGCCCTTTGGAGCATCCTGCTGAAAAAGATTGTGAATAGGTTTGGTGCAAGAACACAGCCTTGTTTCACACCACTGGTTATTAGAAAGGGCTCAGAAAGTGCATCACCATATCTGACTTGGCCGTGAGTATCTCATAGAGTGAGATGATCATTTTAAGGAACTTGGGGGGACAATCTAAACATTCCAAAATCTGCCACAGACCTTTTCTGCTCACGGTATCAAAAACCTTGGTGAGATCAACAAAGGTTACATAGAGACCTTTGTTCTGTTCCCTACACTTCTCTTGCAGTTGTCTGAGGACAAATACCATGTCTGTGGTGCTCCTGTTGGCTCTGAAACCACATTGGCTTTCAGGTAGAATTCCTTCTGCAATAGTGGGAGCTGCTTTATGCTGATGATGCCGCCCTTGTCGCCCACACAGAAGCAGCTCTGCAGCGTTTAACTTCTTACTTTCAGACACTGCTGAGCTTTTTGGGCTGGAAGTCAGCTTAAAGAAGACAGAAGTTCTCTATCAACCTGCACCTCAGGAAGTCTTCCATCATCCCCATATCACCATTGGCCAATCGGAGCTCAAATCAGTCCAACAGTTTAATTACCTAGGCAGCCTCATCTCCTCGGATGGTAAGATTGACGGAGAGATAGACAACAGGTTGGCAAAGGCATATAGTGCTTTTGGAAAACTCCATAAAAGAGTTTGGCGAAATAAACACTTGAAGAAAAGTACCAAGATCAGTGTTTACAGAGCCATAGTGCTGTCCACTCTCTTATATGGATCTGAATCAGGGGTCATCTACCGCCACCACCTGCGTCTCCCAGAACGCTTCCATCAACGCTGCCTCTGTACAATCCTAAACATCCACTGGTCAGACTATGTGACCAACACATCTGTTCTAGAACAAGCAGCAGTCACAAGTATTGAGGCCATGTTGATGAGAACACAGCTGCGATGGGCAGGACACATCTCCAGGATGAAGGACCACCGCCTCCCTAAGATCCTGCTTTACGGTGAACTTGCCACTGGCTGCCGCAAGAGAGGAGCCCCAAAGAAAAGATACAAGGACTCCCTGAAACAACATCTCAGCCTCAGCCATATTGATCACCATAACTGGTCTACTCTGGCCTCAAATCGGGAGGCCTGGAGACACACCATCTATAACGCTGCTGCTTCCTTTGAGAACACACGCAGGATCACCCTCGAGGAGAAAAGACAGCGCAGAAAGAACCGTGTCTTGCAGAATTTACCACCTAAGGAGTCCTTCTGCTGTGCCTTTTGCAGTCGGACTTGTCTATCTTGTATTGGCCTTATTAGCCACCAGTGTGCTTGTAACAAACGTGGGTAGAGCCTTTCCCAAATCTTCGTACACGAAGCCCAACCATGATGAATGAATGAATGAATGAAGAAAAGGAAGAATTATATGCAGATATACATCAGGAAATGTAATTTCAAGTGTAATTATGTTTTAGTTGCCAGTGATGCACTTCTATTACAGTTACAAGTGGAAGTAGATATCAGACCTATGAGTTCAGTTATTTTTAAAACAATCAGATTTTAAAACTTAAGTATGTTCATTTATTTTCTTACTCTAAAACACTTGGAAATCTTCTGCTTCCTATTTAATAGCTTTCAGGTTAATAATGAAATATTTGTGTTTATTGGATTTCAGAATATATTAATTAGATAGCTGACTTACACTGAGTGGTAAGAATTGAACTTATCTTCTTTGGACTTCTTTTGTGATTCTTTTCAAATTATCCCTGAGGATGGTGTCTGGATTGAATTAATCAAGGGTGAGATATATTAGGTAGAGTATTAAACAGCAGCTTAACCAGTTGTATTTTTACTGCCTTTAAACAATGGTATTTCTTGAGTGCTGTAACATCACTTGAAACCTGGGTGTATTTTTGTGGTATCAGATGATTTTTACAGAGTAAGAGTTTGCTGCCCTCGAGTGGTTAAAAGGATCATGGACTGATTTCTTCACACTCAGCTTGGATTAATAGTTTAGCACCCAAAAGTCCACTTCTGTTATGAGTTGAAAGAAGGAAGGAGAAGCAAATGGAGCAGGAAATCAATTCTCCTGTAAGGAAGAATATTCAGAGTCATTCGGTTTTTTTGCTCCAATTCTACATATGTTTCAGTCTACACAAATGCAAGAGGATGGAGAGGGGAGGATCTCAATTCTGCATTACAGATCTGAGATCTTGAAAGAGTAATAAATAGTTGCCCATGGATTTTCTGTTCTTCAGTATTTCTTAAAGTACAAGGTCTAATCTGACATATTAGCAGTAGGTATTTAGTAGATAGGTAATGCTGCACATACTGTGGAACTTTCCTGGTTTCTCGAGTACTGTGGTTATGGAAATCTGATAAATTATTCAAGGCTTAAAAAGAACAGTAAGGAAGAATCACTGTAACAGTAGGAGAGGTTGAAAGTGGCTTCTTAATATGAACAGTAATAGCCAAAGGGGTTCTGGGTGCATCTCTCTGCTCTCTGCTTCCATTGGAGATGCCAATAGTACTTGGGATGAAAGGGCAGGGAACTTGAAACAGAAAGGTGAGCGAAGGAAAAAAACTGAAAAATGGACAGAGTGACAGTAGATAGAGGCTTAACTGAAATTTATCCACCACCTCAC